AAGAGTGTGTCAGAAGAGATGCTTGGAGCACAAGCTTTGGTACTCTTAGTCATTTTGCAGGACTTAGCATTTGAGTATTCATAGTTGAACACAGTCCCAATAGAAATGAGAGGAAAGGGAATGCAGTTATGTTGTTGCAACAGTGAGTTATGTGAGTGTATGTTCTGCGTGGGCAGCGTTAAGGATGGGACAGCAAGACCCTTAATCACATCATACCTTGTTGCTCCTTGGTTGCTCCTGCTTCTACAAGTAATTACGCTGCTTGGGGGAAAGCAAGGTATACACTTCATTATGGTAACGATACAGTGGTCTCCTAGCTCCATCCTCCATTTTTAGACTGAAGACCAAATATTGCTTATTTTGATTGACAAGGCAGTTACCACATGAGGGATCACCAGATCTTGTTCTGCTTTCCCCCTTATATTCTCTGAAGGAAGAAGATGGAAGTCAGTCAGTAGCTGGCAGCTAGAGTTATGACAAAGCTAAGCCATTCCATTTTTTGTGTTTTGTTCATACAACCCTAGTTTTAATTAGAGCAGTCTCTCCTTTTTAAAATTAAAATGACAATGATTTCTTAAAAATTCTGTAACATAGAATTGGTCAGTGTTATGAACCGATTTTACTGGCTTGTCAGATGTTTGCATGCTGTGACTTGAAAGAAGGGGAGAAATTAAAAATAAAATAAAATAAAATAGCTCCTCCAGAAGTTCACTGGGTACAAGAGAGATCTGGCTGTCTGTAGAAGGTGCAGGGCTTCAATATGCTTAGTTTCATTTTCCAAACATGCTTTTGGTTTCAATGCAAGAAACTTTATTTTGACATTAATTGCATAAATACATTAATGTATTCCAGTTGCAGATCAGTGCATTCTTAATACATTTAATGAAATAAAATGCAAAAGTGTTATTCTGAGAGTGGAATTCTCCTGTGTTTTCTCACTTTTAAATGAATTTAATTCAACAAAATTGAATGTTTAATTAAATAATTCAGTAAGAAATGGAAAATTAGAAGACTTGTTTTCTCCTTCCAAAAGATAATGTAAATTAAAACCATGCATACAACATTTTTTATTTATTTCATGCTCGAGCTTTGATATGCTTCAAAGTGCAAGCCAAACCAGCAGTTTGCAAGATATTTCCTACAAAATACCGATGTAAACAGTTATGGCATGCAGAGTCTTATGAGACTGGTGATTCTATAGTAATTCAGATTATTTTTCTTTTTTCTGATTTTATCACCTTTTTCTGCTTTAGTTTGTGTATACACAACTGATTTTTTTTGGCCCATTTCTCTCTTTAAATTTGCTCAATGCTTTTTTAATTTTTAAATTATATGTTCCTTTCTTCATAACACGTTATTAAACCACTCGTTTCCCAAACTTTTTTCTTTCCAGCCACTTTTATTCTGTACACAGTTGAGTATATCTTAGGCTCATTAAATAATTAAGAATGCAGTCAAGCTGCAGATTATGGAAATAGCCCCATATCTTATTCATATCAATTCAAATACCTGTTTCAATATTGAGCTTTGGAATAATCCATAAAATTTGAGATGAATTGGCATTCAAAGTGTTTAAATATGAATGTCTAGCAACTATAAATAAATAATATGTGGTAGAGTAGAAACAAAAGGATTCTTTTCAAACATTTATCATTGGAAAACTTGATCAATTATGTTGATTCAAAGACATGAAGATAATCATTGAAGATGACATAATAATTGTAAGTGTATTACTTGCTTAACAGAATGAGTACCGTATCTGAACAGAGCTGCTAAAACAAGTCTGTGTTTCTGCAAATTCCATAGGAGTAAACCAATCAACTGAATAATTCCTGAAGCTTGATGTTCTCTAGTATTAGATGATGGTTATTAACTGAATTTGACTAGATGTAAATATTGCATAGGTCTGACTTCAATCTGTATGTTTTACAGCAAGATGAATAAGAAGGTACAGTTTTAATTGTGGGACTTGACAATACAGTAAAATAAATAATGTATTGGGATACATTATGTAAATATCCTATCAGCTAAAAGTTATTTTGTTTTTTCTTTTATTTTTAGAGTTATTTCAATAAAGAATTATCATCCGAAGATAAGAATTATCACTCAGATGTTGCAGTATCACAATAAGGTAACGTGGCAACCAACAGTGTCTCTCCCCAGAGTTTTTTTGTACCTTGCATTCACTCATACACAATTTTTCTATCTCCACTAATAAGTATTTCTCTTTCCAAACAAAAACATCCTAATAAGCCTTATCATATAATTCAGTGACAAGGTAATTCAGTTGTATTTATATATGCAAGAGAACTTATCAAAATCCTCTGACATGTATTAATTGCCTAGGGTCTAATTCTCAAAGCTACAGTGTCCATAGTTGCTATTGATCCCAGATGAGCTTTTAACTACTCAGCTCCTATAAGTTTTGCTCATCTTATTACACTAGAGCTACCCAAGGTGAATTGGTGGCCTCTAGGCAAGTCATCTGAAGTCAGCTCTTTGTGGATACTTTAAAAAAAAAAGCATAGAATTATTGTTTTATTGGAAATTTATTGTGATTTTGTGTTTCTTGCATGACAATATAGACCTGAAATTGCCAAGTAGCAGGTACAAAATAAATAAAATTAAGTGATTTTTTTCATGTAAAACATAATTCAGTTGTGGAATTTGTTCCTAAAAATATTGTGGAGATCAAAATTATAAATCCAGTTTGGAAAGGAATTTGGCAAATTTCAATGGTAAATCCATGACCTTTAAATGCAGTGAAGTCAATTAATTCAATCCTGAGATGAGGAAGTCCATAAACTGCTGATTAACAGGGCTAGGAAGAATATATCAGAGGACAGACTAAGCTTCAACAACTACTTAGTGTTGGAGAAAAAGCTTGGCTGGGTAGACCTTCATTCAATGAAATACAATAATCCTGGTTCTGAGAAGGTCTGACTTCTAACAACTCCTTTTACCTTAACCTTTGGCTAGAACAAGAGCAATTACTGTTGCTTGCGATGTCCTCTTCTTGTACATGAGTGGAAGGAGCCTGTCTTTTTCTAGAATAAAAGCAAGGCGTTACTCCACATTAAACAAGTTCGAAGGGGAAGATCTTTTAAATACTGCATTTTTCCTTTGTATTGCCAATGACTGTGTCTTCAAAAGAGCTTTTATGAAAGTGCTTAACTGTAATACTAACTTACGAAGGTAAACAAGCAGGAAGGCCGCATGTCTTTCCTTATGTCTGCATTTCTGTAATGCAGATGTAAGAGAGAATCTGATAGACTTATGCCAATGACTGAACAATATTAATACCTATGTAACTGACCAGTGTCAATACTGGAGGTCTGTCTTGATCAGCTATTTTCTTTATTCTGTCCTTAAAATTAGCAGTCTTAGGAAAAACGATTTCACTAGTCAAGCACTATCCTTCAGGGTGGAAGGAATGAAATAGAAAAGACAGATGTTGTATACCTTGTTAAATGACAATGTCTCATAAAGGTTGCAGCTTCACACAAGTTGTAATGTAAGTTGCATTAGATACCTGTATATTACATATGTGTCTTATCAGTCAGAGAGTAGCTCAAAGGGCTGTAAAAGGAATACACAGAAGGGAAGGAAAACTTTACAACATTCTGTGGTTCGTTCAGGTATGAGGATGGGCCTGGCAGACTGTCACAGCTGGAATATGGCTTGAGAAATGTAAGATTTTGACTATAATAGGTAAGATTGGAACATTTCTTAGCATAGACTTAGCAACTCAAATACTTGGAGTGCTTCTGCCTACTCAGAAAAAGTCAAGCCAGTAACAAAGAAAATCATTCACTGCTATCTCCTTCAATACTGTACTGTATTTGGGGAAGTATTTCTGGTTCTTCACCAGTGGGGTTTTTTTGTTTCTTTTCCAGGCTCATCTGCTAAATATCCCAAGCTGGAACTGGAAAGAAGGGGATGATGCAATCTGTCTTGCTGAGCTCAAGCTGGGTTTCATAGCCCAGAGCTGCCTGGCACCAGGCCTTTCAACAATGTTAGCCAACCTCTTCTCTATGAGGTCATTCATAAAGGTAATGTCTTGTCCCATTAGAATGTATTAGTTCGCAATTCAGTTTGTCAGAGAGCTGAGTAGAGAGCATGGCTCAAATATGAAACAGGAACACATTAATAGATATTGTAAGACCAAAAAAAACCAGCACACACCTACATATAAATGTTCTCTGCTGCAAATTGGGCAATGAGCCAGGTTCTGTCAAGTTATGTTTTTATTTTTATTCAGCAAGTGTTTGGCCTTTAAATGATTGTTGAAAGCATCATCCATTTCTAGGGATATTTCTGGGGTTTTGTGTTTTGCTTTGTTTTAGGCAAAATAGACATTTATGTATGAGAAAAGCCGCTGCTGCTAGAACAAAAATATGATTTATATATGTCCCATATAGCAACAAAGTGCCCAGAAAAAAGGACTGATCATTTTGGTCTTTTGCATCAAGTGGCTAGTGGACCTCTGACTGTGACTGTGAGAGTAAATAAGGAACAGGTGGTGGAACTGAAGCCTGAACTTTCTACAACATCGTACATGTATTTGTTTCTCCTCAGTCAAGGAGGTCTTTTGAACTTACATGGCAAAATTTTAGCCCAGTTATTCCTAGACTTCTGTGGCAGCTGTACTAGCTGGACCAAGGCCTTGATTGCAGCAATCGGTGCTTCTTTCCTCATGCCTTTCTGGGACACTCATTCCAAACATAAAGGATGGTCAGTTTCCAATCCCATAAGTGTTGTTAATGGGACAGGAAACACTGGAGTTGACAAGGTAGGCCATGGTCTACTTCAAGTCTGTTGTGCAAGTAAGCAACAAAAAAAAAAAAGGAGAAAAAAAAAAAAGCCTAATGTCCTCAGGTGCACGTATCAGTGCAGGGCAGTGAATCTTTATTTCTTTTGAAGTCTTGAAACTCTTATTGAAATTCTTATTAAGGTATCCTTTGGAGACCTCCAAAAAATTGGAGACAGCAGACTCCTGTGTGTCAAAAATATTCCAGACTACTACATAGAGTCAAAAAACGCCAGTTTTCAATATAGAAACAAGCCTGGGCTCTGCATTTGGCTTTCTGCAGCTACGATATTTGCATCTTTAGTCATGTGCGGGGGGAGGAAGAAAGAAACTGGTTTACTTCAGTAAAGCCAAACTTGGGAACTGTCTGTGACTCATCAGCATATGGTCACTTTGGTATTAATCCTTTCTGCTTATATCTCAAAAGAAAACTATATCTCTTATGAACTTCATTCTTCTTCCTGGTCATTTTGGTCTGCCTCATTCTGGTGTGGTAACCCAAGACTCTCAGGAGTCTCAAATGTTTGTAATGCTCACACTAATGAATCGAAATTACTGAGGCAACCTATGCTATGAACTTCCTCTTGAAATCAGAAGTAGGTCTGAAACTTTTGCTCAGCTTCTGTCTTTCCAAAATCAGGAGGAGTCAATTTTCTCTCAAGGAGAGCCAAATATACGGGTATCTTCAGAAGTCCCAGTATTAATGCAAGTTATTTTCATACTGAATTTAAACTTGCATTCAGAAAACTGAGAAATTCAGAAAGTGGTAAAGTGTACAGATACCTGAGTATAGGGGAACCGTACAAGACACGCACATTTGTGGCCTGGATGTGTAGTTAAAACATTTAGACAAGTCAAAAACTGCAAATGTAAAGCTATCATCTTTCCAGAAAATATATCTAATCACTTATGCCATTATCTTACCCACCTTCAATCCTATATTTTCTTATTTTATAAAATATTCTTATAATAATTTCAGTACAGTACGAGATTGGACTATCTCACTGATGAACAGCTTTAAGCTGAAGGCTCAGCTTTGCAAGGTACTACTCAGATTACATCTGAGTATTTCTACATACACAGAATGAGCATAAAAATAGCAATCATTTTGATTTGGAGGAAGCTATCAATGTCAATTTAGCTCATGTATCTGTGATTATATACAGTTAGAAACAGAATAGGATGCAGACATACTTTAGCTTGTGTTACTTTAGATGTCATCTTCAGATGGCACTGAGAGAAAAAATGACGTCAAGTACGTTAGGAGAATGCAAGACACTGTTAGTACTGGTTAAAAATATGTCTGCTACTTAACTAAGAATGAATTGTCCGGGCAAGTAAAATGGATGTTGTCATTTCAAAAGATCTCTGAGTATATTAAAATCAAAATCAAAATAAATGTACAAGAACTGAGGCATTTCTCAGAATCAAACTCAATTGGCGACAGAAGAAGGTTTGTTTATTTGGCTGAAAGGATATTCTTTCTCCAAGCTGTCTTACTCTTAAAACTGTATTTGAAAGAGGAAACTATTACTTAGCGGTGGGTGTGAATCAACAGTGTACTGTAAGAGAGCAGCTACATTGATTGGAATTGTTAGAGGACTCTATTGAAAAGAAAGATGACTATTCCGTAAAAGAACTTCCACCCCATTTTATTTAGAGCACTGAATTTAAGTACTGTCAGACCTTCATAAGTTCTTTGGGCAAACATTATTAGTGGAGTCTCCAACAAGTTAGGAGATTGCCAGGAAAATGTACTGAAACTTCTATATTTTTGAAGAAAGTTTGAAATGTGTGTTCCTCCTCCTTCATAACGTGATTAGAAAGTGATTTAATGTGCCATAAATGTTCGGTCAGTCAAACACAAATGAACATGATTGATGGTGACATTGCACACATTTAACTCATTATGTGTTCCTTTACAGCAAAATGATTTGTGTAAACGGTCTGCCCAGTATTAGAGGTAAAACAAACTAAGAAACCTCAAAATATTATATTATTCCTAATATTTTCCTTTTGGTTTTAGTGATGTAACATCATATGGAATCTTTTACGTTCTCTTTGGCACCAAACTGAACAAAAAAGAAATTCAGCTCAAAAAGATTAAGAATCTGTAAAGCCTTAAAGGAGGAAAGATTCATTGCACAACAAATGATATGTTAAGCAAAAAACCCCCTCAACCCAACTTTACACCTGTAAACTGTATTTCAATAGTCCATTCCTGTTATAGCAAAGAATGTTATCATTGATGTGTTAGTAAAGGAATTGAGAGTCTATTACTAGCTTAGTCTCAGAAAAAGGTGGAAATACTATACTGTAGTGCAATTTCTGTATTGTTTGGATTAGCAAATGTATACCAGAAGTCTACCCATATGAAAAACATTGTAAAGAGTAAGTAAATAGAATAGAAGGCAGAGGTGGTCAAATTTTGTCCCTTTATACAACTATGCAAGCCAATATGAGTTAGTATTGTTGTGTAAATTGATAAAATGTGGAATGTGGTTCTTGAGTGTAACACAAGTCCACAAATGAATTAGTTTTGTCTTTACTCTGTTGGCAAGATGGTACACCTCCTTCCAGATCTGAAAAATGATCTAGAGCACTCTCAATTAT